GCTGTAACCCAGTATTAAAAAAAATGTAGTTATGCCCAGATTGATCAATAGATTCAACATAATTCCAGTAAAACCTTAACAGAATGTATTGTGAAATTTGATGGATTGATTTTACATTTTGTCAGGAAGGCAGTGGACCACCAGTAACTCCAACAAATCTGTAGAATAAGAATTTGTCCCACAATATCCAGGTTCATCTAACTGTAACAATTAAGATCATGTTACAGTGGTATAGAGCTAAGTGAGGAAACCAAATGGTAGAATAGAGAACTCTGAAAAGACAGCTGCATACACAAAGATTAATCAGTCACACATACACACACTTGAAAGGTCCTGGGTAAAGGAAGATTTATTCATTTAACCTTACTGAAGCAGTTGACAGTTTAAATGGATAGACATGAAATGAGATCCCTACCTCACACCATATATAAAATAATTTCTAGGTGAATTTACACTTAAATGGTCAAATTTTCAGGAAAGAAACTAGAGAAGAATTTTTATTACTCTAATGTAGAGAAAATACCTTACATACAAAACAAAATGCTAACTAGAAAATAGATGAATGAATTTATACCATAAGATTAAGAGTGTTTAAGCAAAGACAAGAAAAAAGGCAAGCAAAAAATTAGGCAAAGATATTTACCACATATATCCAAAAAAAAACTATAAATTAAAAAAAAAAATTAAAGATACCCGAATAGACTGAAAAAAGGAAATAGGATGGCCTTTCATAAAAGTAGAAACATGAATTCCTGTATAAATGTGAAAGATGTTTGATGTCTTTGATAGTCATGGAAATGTGACTTAGGACATGGCAGGATGCCTTTTTATACCTCCTATAATGGCAGGAACTAAATCTAATAATGACAGAAAGCATGAAATCTTGTACAATGTACCAGAGTGGCTATAGAAAGAAGTCCTTTAGATTTTTGATGAGTATACATTGCTACCAGTACTCAGGAATAATTTGCATTATCATGTAATGGCAATTATTTTTAATTTATAAACCTATGAAACTACTATTGGAGGCTTTTGCAAATTAAGAGTAATGTATAGCAAGGAAATTATCAATGCTGCTTATAACCTAAATTGTGGCAAATTAAGTATTGTATCAACTCACTTAGATACTATAAAAATAGTATTTACTAGTATGATAAATTGATATGCTTTTAAATGCCAAGGGATAGTCTAGATTAAATGTGAGTGGAGAATCTTAACAGCATGTATAATACCTGGCTTTTACTAGATCCTAGATTTAATGTGAGCTCTAGAGAGATTACTGTTGGGGAAATTTGACTGAATTCTATTTTAAAAATTGTTATTTAGTGTCAGACTTTTTAAGTGGGATTATAGTATTGTGGCTGTTTAGTAGAATGCCCACGTACTTTGGAGGAAAATATCTGAGTCATGATAAAATGCTATGATCTCTACAGTACGTTTACATAGTTTGGAAAAAGAGGTAAACTGGGGAGCTGGAGAGATGGCTCAGAGATTGAGAGAACTGTCTGCTCTTGCAGAGGACCTGGGTTCAATTGCCAGCACCCACATGATGGCTAACACCCACCCATAACTCCAGTTCCTGGGAAATCTAACACCCTCTCCTAATCTCTGTAGGCTTTGCACAACATGGGTGCATTTACATACACATAAGATACTCATACATATGAGACTAAAAAATAGTAAATAAAATATTTTGTTAATAAAAGAGGAATACTGTGTATATCTGTATATAGAGAGAATAAACTGGTATAAAAAGCTAACAATTGACAAGTGGATAAAGGTGTTCATTTAATTGTCAATTTTGCTATGTTTGACATTTTTCAAAATTAAAAATTAGAAACAAAACCAACAACACTAA